GTGGCAGACAATTTCTTTTCTTGTCAACAATCTGAAGCATAATTATTTTTTTCAAGCATTATCTCTATAGAAACCCAGGCTTGCTTCCCCCTTCTCTCTAAGGATATCAAATCATCTATTATCAGCCAATCAGGAAATAGCAGACAGCAAGTACAAGTAGGGGTGGCCGATTTCTTTTTCGCCTTATGGGAATATAAATGTAAAAAGAATTGCTTCGTTAGCCAATCAAATGGAATTTATCTATATATTTCAGAACACCTGTTTGTATCCATCTCAGCATCAAAAGAGTTAAAGCCCTTACATATACCAGTACAAGAGTTAATGTTCCTACCACCTGGCATACAGGAAGTGGCTGTCTGTGTTGGCCGACAGCTACACACACAACCCTTGCCAGATTACCACACACTGGCAAATATTGCAGGTTGAATAACAATAATTTGTCTGCTTCCTGATTCCAAGAAAAACTTAAGTAATTCCATATCTCCTCCTCCGTATCAGCCCCAGAAAAAAGGTAAGACGATTTCATGGATGGATACATCATGTACATGCTTGGCAAAATGAGATATTTTATCAAACTGAAATTATTTCAATTACTTTATTTTCTGTTATGTGTTAAAGTGTTTAGGTGAGGTGAGGTGAGGTGAAATGGGGTTTAACGTCGCGTCCAAGATTATTGCAATTATATAGCGGCGTACATGCACTTGTGTGTGTGTGTCTGCTTGTACCAGTCCAGACTGATGCCGATTTATAGTGCTAGCCCACTGAGATACCGTGGCGCAGTTTAACATGAATACCCCACTCAGACACAGTTTACTGACTCCGAGCCGACCAGTCCTTGTTTCAGCACCTTCATGCCGAGCGCCAGACAGGGTAACAACAAGTACCATCTTTTAACGTCTTTTTGGTATGACGCGGTCGGGGATCGAACCCAGGACCTTCCGCTCCCCTGGCGGACGCTCTACCACTAGACCACGGAGGCGGTCTGTGTTTAGGTGAAGATTGGCAACATTGTATTTAGTTGCAATCACAAATCAGCCAATCCATATGGTTTCCGACCTTTGTCATAATGTTGCACCAAAGATTTGATTGAATGGTTGTTGTTTAACCCCGCACTCAGCAATATTCCAGCCATATGACAGCAAGGAACTGAAAGGAACATTTTTTGTGTACTATTTTCAAGGGAAGATAATTTCTTTCATATTAAAAATGTTAAAGAACCCATATTCTTCAAAACATAGTACCCATGACAAGGTGATATCATTGTCATCCTGTAACAATTATATGTTTGTTTGTTTGTTGTTCAACGCCACACTCAGCAATAATCCAGCTATGTGAAAGCAGTCTTTAAATAATCGAGTCCGGGCCAGACAATCCAGTGACTGACATCATGAGCATCCATCTACGCAATTGACATGCATCAACCAAGTCAGTGAGTCTGACCACCCAATCCCATTAGTCGCCTCTTACGACAAGCATAGTCGCCTTTTACGGCAAGTATGGGTTGCTGAAGACCTATTCTACCCCCGATCTTCACGGATCTGTTACACTGTCAAAAGGTTTGCCGAATTTGTATTCTTTACTCTGAAAAAGCACAATATTGTTCTGGAGGATGCTCCAGTAAAATATAAACATAACATAGAGTCAAATTTCCGAACCTACACATGTATAAAATGATGATAAAGTTTGATCAGTTTACGCTACTGTCAACAATATTGGTCCAGTGACCCATGACAATCATCAGCTCTGTACAAGTATAAGAGGCCAGTGGCCCCTTTACAAGAATAAAACACAATCAATAAGTATCCAAAAAAGATGTTGAATTAAGCACTAACTGTCTACAAAATACATTTCTGATTATGTTTTCTGTGTCACTTTTGACCCCAAAAACATGACAAAGCAAAAGAGGGGTGGTTGGGGGAGGGGGGGGGGGGGGGGACGTTGCCGTTGTTTATCACAACTATAGAGGAGTGGGGGGAGTGACATGAAAAAAAGACAGAGATCTATTTGATTTGTTAAAATTTTAACATTATTTAGGGCATGTTATTTGAGGGAGGGGCAGAGAGGTAGTGTTGCATGAAATATTTTACCGAAAATGAAGCGTGGTGGCAAATTATAATACAGTCTCAACGAAAAAGGGGATTCTTAAATATTAAATTCATAACCATGATGACCAAAATTCTAAGTTTTCTACAATTTAGGCAAGGGGAAATTTTCTGCAATCATGCAGCAAGGGAATTGCCCTACATACTGAATTGCCAAAATTAATATTTGGTCAAATTTGTAAAAAGTCTTTTCAATAACATACCATTTTAGAAAGGGAAAACTTTCTGCTTTAAGTTATGCTACAACTCCCTGTTACACCCTGTGTTGTCTGTAGGTTCTTATAACAATGGAGTCAGACTACGTTCAACCTGTAGGCCAGGGGGTTCCAGCTGTGGGAGACACAGGTACACACTATGGGAAAGAAAAGATCATCTAAATAGTTGACATTTGGGGAGAATCATGGCGCAGGCTGATTCACCCCAGTGTCGGGGGGCAATATGTTGGATGGGGTCTGGACCTGGGGGGAAGGGAGGCAGGGCAGGTATGAGGAAGGTGAACCTCACACACACAGCGTTAGAAATTGGCACTAGTCCTATAGTCCTTGCCAAACTGCCCAATGGTAAAGGTATCATAAGGACTAGTAGAAATTTGCCCTTTTTAAGGGTTTTGCCATATGTTATCATTATAAGGACTAGTGGCCGAAAACTGTTAGTTTCTAACCCTGCGTGACACAGCTCCACTACAGGAACTTGTACTGCAGTGTAGTAGGGCCACAGTAAGTAGTTACTTGTTGTAAGGTAGGTCGAACGTCTGCTTGTTGTCTAACGTTGCACTCAGCAATATTCCAGCTAGATGACGGCGGTCTGTTAATCATATCAAGTCTGGACCAGACAATCCTGTGATTGATATCATGAGCATCGATCCACGCAATTGGGATCAATGACATGCATCAACCAAGTCAGCGAGCCTGGCCACCAAAACCTGTTAGTCGCCTGTTACGTCAAGCATGGGTTGCTGAAGACCTTAATTCTAACCCAGGCCTTCACAGGTTCGAACGTCTGCTACTGCAGAATGAGTCATCAAACATATATTATCAATTGTTTTTCTATAAATTGAACAATTTATTTCTATATAGCATGTTTAGGCCACTAAACGTTTCTTGTCAGAAGAATTGTGGCTGAGAATTACAAAACCATTTCTCCCTCAGATACCTTCTATCAGCAGATGTTCATTTTATTACAAAAACAAAAAACGAATACATGGACTATTATTAAACTTATAATTGTTGCCTTATACATAAATGTATTTGAAAATATATATAACTTGTTGTAACACAACAGTATCGAAGGCTAATCCCACACACAACCATGGAGGTCTTTCTGCTGCTAACATTCTATGTCTAAATAACCATGACATTTTCAAGAACAAATCCCAATATGCCAAAATACATCATAATGATATGTCACAAAAAAGATTAAATAGACAAGAATATTTCGAACATTGCACAAAAGACAATGTAAAAAGTGCAAAAAGATCAATACCCGTACATATTGGCAACAATTCTCCCTCTTAAAATGAAGAACATTCACAGAATGTTACAATCTCTCAATATCACGGAGAAGGAAGCAAGTGATAAAAAATATACCAGAGCATTACTTCCAGCTAGCTTTTAACACATTCTCTAATCTCAAAGAAATAGTTCTTTGAGAAAAAAGATTTCAGCTTTAAAGTGATAGGACAGACATATGTCAGCCGTTATCAGATTTCTCTGCCAGCCCCTGTGACTGCTGGTCTCCTTGCTGGAGGCATGGAGGGCTGCCTAACCTTATGTCATACTTAGCACTGTCGGCAAGTGAGAAGGCCCGGCTTGGATATGATGGCTTGGATATAATACTGTTAGTTTTTGCCTTTAAAATACCACACTTTCCCAAATGACATCTAAATAACGTCCCTAAGCGTAGCAAGTTCCAAATGTTCTCTCTTTGTGAGCATAAAGAGCTTATATTTTCAAAGATGTTTTAACCCTTTTTTCTTCTTTTTATAGAGCTGTCACTATCAGGGAATGGTAAACTTCAAGGCAGTGGTATATCAGTTATTGCCAAAATTTGGTCAGAGAAATCTTAAATACCGTATTCGACGTAATAAGCCCCCGGGGCGCTCTCAACAATAGAAATAGGGGGCTCTTATTAGAATATAATTTTGGTGAGAAAAAGTGAGTTGAAAGATTTTTGTAGTTTATGCTGACAGCCTGAACTGATACAAAAGAAAAGTATGCGCCTATCATACACGACAGATATATTTTCCAGAATCTAATTGCCCACAATTAAGGGTGCATATAACACACGATTGTATATTATACACGAATAAATAAGTCTTACGTACATTGATCAATAGGAATGGGTGCTAATTGGGATTGTTCACTAGCCAATATATGAGCAAATATTGCCTTGGGTGCTTATTAGAGCAGGGCACTTATAACGTCGAGTACGGTAGGTAAAATACATCCCATTAACTGGTGATATTAAAAAGAATTTTGAATCATATCATATCATAGATCAAGTCAGGCTGCATAAATATATATATATTGTCAATGATTAGTTTTCCTGGTCATAGATACACGTTGTATGATCGGTGGTGCATTCTCCAGCTTCTTCACACCATAAGACGTTAATAGATAGTACTTGTTGTTACCATGCCTGGCACTGGGCATTAAGGGAAAAAACAAGCTCCTCCCTAAATCACAAACATGCTCCAGCAAATCTCAGACACTATTTGACCACAAGAGTGAACTCCTGACAACAGAGCTGCCTCTGCTCACCAAAATTAAATGAATTAAAAATTATAAGCGTTATATCTCCCCTGTGCTCTGACATAAAGTAGAAGGAAAGATGGTAAACATATAATCTCAACCATCAACACTGCAACAAATATCCACCAATCTTCTTCAAACACAAATAAACACAACTTGAGCTTTTGCCAACAGATATTAAAAGTGACGATGAAAGGATATTTCAAACGGCTGATATTTTCCAGTGATATCAAAAATGAAAACTGTTTTTTTATGTTTACTGAAATTACATTTGTGGGGTCGCAGGGTATAAGCTCTGCAGCACAGGTCCATCAAGAGATAGGCTGGGTGAGCATGGAGAGGGAGAGAGAGATAAGTGAAGAGTGAGGCACAGCTGGGAGAGGCTTACATTACCGGAGGGAGCTCTAAGACAGCATCACGCTAATAAAACAGATTTATACAATATAGAGAGGTAATTGCTAGATTCGGCAGTAACGAAAAATGTTTTTGTACAGGGAGAGGTCAGCGCAATAAGAGTGTGGAGGAAGTGTATATTACAGCTACCAGAGAGTGAGATTCAGGAACACTGAATCACTGCTATACCCGCGGAGGAGGGCTTGCTATAGGTGCTATAGGTAGAAAGGGTTGGAAACCCACATTTGCAGACATATATGTTTGAAGACTTTATCCAGTATTGTGAGTGTGGCCTTGGAACGGACAGAGACTGTTTGTCTGTGGAAATAGAGGACAGGAGTTGTGGAGACTTGGATAACTGTGTCACACTGTGGCTGGTCTTTGCTACACATGGAGGTTGTTTCTGTGGAACTTGTGGAAAATCAGATTTGTGTAAAAGTCTTAAAGCAACATCTAATTTTGACATCCTGGCCCCATGGTGCTGTCAAGGTGATCAAGTCTTGATCAAGGTGAGAACAGCAGTAAGATATTCTATAAACAAAGGGTTTTGTTCAAAGAAATCATTATTTGATCACAAGGTACATTTTTGTCCAGGTAGAGTTGTTATGTTTGTTTTTTTGTTTGTACATTGAAGTCATATCATAAAATACCTGAGGTTATCGAGCCTGGACTAGTGAATGGTGGGTAGAATGAGAGTTTTTCTTTGTTTTTGTTGTTTAACAACGCACTCGGCAATGTTCCAGCTATATGACAGCGGTCTGAAAATAATCCAGTCTGGACAGATAATCCAGTGATTGATATCATGAGCATCGATCCATGAAATTGGGATACGATGACATGCATGAAGTCAGCAAGCCTGACCACCCGATCCCAATAGTTACCTCTTCAACAAGAAAAAGTCGCCTTTTACGGCAAGGATGGGTTGCTGAAGACCTATTCTAACCCGGATCTTCACGGGAACAAGGTAGAGTTGAGAGCTGTTCAAATGTTTTCTACAAGATGAGGTATGAGGAAGTGTTAAATATGATAGTTACACCACTTTTGCACTACTACATCAACACATCATCCGCAGACACCAATTCACTACCCCGTTGCTCAGCTTGATGCATGTGGGTATTACGGGGAATCAAACAAAGGACTCCTTCACCACAAGCAAATGCACCATTACTAACCTGTACACCAGCCCCCAAGCAATGTCAGGTCACAAAAGTACTCCTTTGATTAACTGACTTGCAAAACACAAGATGACAGTTACACCGTTATTCATTGCTGCTATTTCTTTCAGGTTGGTGTGATTCCAATGGACTGCAGCTGTGTGGATATGGCCAACAGATGTACCTAGATCCCATAGACAGCACAGCTAGCCAGCTAGCAGTGACAGACCTGCCGCTTCCCCTGCTGAATCTCAAGAAAAATTGCCCAGTCCATCTCTCCAAGACTACAGAGGGGTCAATGAGCTGCAGCACTGTACGCACAGTCAAGACAAACTCTCCCTTGTGGACGACATCATAAAATTCATAACCACACAGTTGTGTATCAGCTAATAAGTCTGGTGTGTGTGGCTATGGATCAAGTTATGTATAACCTGTAAAACTGATAGCCTGGCAATCAATACCATAGGTTCAGGGTCCTGTCACTTATTTTCCACCGGGGTCGAAGTCCCAGACCCTTTGGCAACTGAAGCAATGGAATGTCCTGTTCAACTATGGAATCATTATCGGACCCTAAAACCCCGCTCAAAAGGTAATTATTGACAGTTCCTAATTACCATAAAGAATGACCGCACACATCATCAGCTTTAACTGTTTCCAATTTCCATCAAATACAACATTGACTACACTGCAACATGGCAGCAAGTCAGTCAAGAGTACTGGGCACATCACACTCATGTGATTCCATGAAACCAGGAAGTGTTCTCATTTCTTAGACACAAGCGTTCAAGATGAGGATGCTACGAGTGCAGCGGTATACGTATTATTTCCTGCTTGGCGTGATGGCGTACTTATCTCTAGCCTACTACATCCACTTCCATGCCAGGTCTCCACAGATACAGGAGTGGACACCCCAAACTGACACTGGTCAGTACCCCTCCAGCAGACCGGCGTCCATCCAAGGGAAGGACGTCGTCACAAACATCACCATGGGGCAGAAGACAACTGAACCGAAGCGACTTGAGGATACATCAAATTACCATGGAACAGATGTCTATCGTCCATTACTCTTCGAGAACGAAAAGATTGATAACATCAAACTTGGAAAAATCAAATTTGATTCCGTGGAATTTCGTAATTTGGAGCAAATTTATGTGTATGCAGCTTTTCTTGATGGAAGAATCCCGAATAAAACATATGCTCGGATATTTGCACTTCAGAGAACAACGAACCTGGAAGGTCTCTTATGTAGGTTCTACTTGGGTGAAAACAAGGGAAGTGTTATTACTGTTTTCACTGAAAAATATGAAATGTGTGAAAATCATGGCAAAGGCTACGGTGGATATATTTATACCTGTCTGGTGCCTCAGTTGATACACGACACACCCACAACAGTTTCCCTGTCAACTTATTCCACCAACTTTGCTCAAAGCCATCTTCACCTGACCATGAACTTAACTCCACTGCAATACAATTTCAACACTGATTCTCAAAGGGAGCTCTTCGGTGTATGTGTGCCACCAATATTTGGAAATATTCCTCTAAATATTCTTATTCAGTACATTGAACTGACAAAGATACTAGGTGGATCAAAACTATTTTTCTACAAATATAATGTATCAAAAAATGTTGAAAAACTTTTAAAATATTACACTGCGAAAGGAGATATCCATGTCCTGAATTGGAATCTCCCTCCCGGCATCAATAGACTCAACATATGGTACAATGGACAGTTGATGGCAATTCAAGATTGTTTGTACAGAAACATGGCTGCGTTTAAATTTTTACTGTTTACCGATCTTGATGAAGTACTAATTCCCCGACAAGCCAACAACTGGGTTACTATGCTGCACAACATCGCCTTGAAATCACAACTTCATAACTTGGACGACATTGCCGGCTTTTCTTTTCAAAGTGTTTTCTTCGGTCCTAATCAAGAGCCGGATCCTGGACAAACTTTACAATTTCTTCAAAGATTGGATCGAACTCAAGTTACAAGCACGATTAGGTCAAAACTTTTAATCCAGCCAAGTCAAGTGTTTGAGCTTGGGATCCACCACATGAGTAAACCAATCCGAGATAACATCACAGTCATGAGTGTAGGTCCCGATGAGGCCCTGTTGCATCACTATAGGTCTTGCGTGGTGGCATTTGATGCGAATATGAGGTGTTATCCTCAAATACGGGATGACACCATCTTGAAATATGCAGACTTACTCAATGCACGGACAAGGAGTGTCATGTTGGATGTGTTGAATCTCCTCAAACAGAGATAATGCAGCTCTGTACATATGCCTATTTATTACCTGCATAAATGAACGTGTGTACGTCAAGTGTTGAAATTATTTGTGGGGCGGTCAGGTAGCCTAATGGTTAAAGTGTTTGCTCTTCATGTTGAAGACCCGGGTTCGAATCTCAACATGGGTACAATGTGTGAAGCCCATTTCTGGTGTCCCCTGCCGTGATATTGCTGGAATATTGTTCACTCACTCACTGAAATTATATGTGTACTGGTGAACATTGGCACATTAGAGGACCAAAGAGTTATGTCCCTTGAACTACAGACAATTATTCAGCTTTATTGACATCTTCCTAAGGCAAGAGAGTTAACTGACTTAAAAAGTCCAGTTTCCACCCTGGGCTCGATTGAAGCGCCACCTGTGGCTATAACGAGGTATGTCCCTTCTATGCCTCTCCTATGGACCAATCAGCTCCATCTCTCGTATCACTTGCAATTGCTTCAAACAATATGGCAGTGCCCAGTCAAGATGATCTGATCAACATCAAGATCTATATTGTGATAATAGGACTTTTACATCGCGAAGTGCATAAAATCACGTAAGCAGCTTGATGAAAAACATGAAAAGATTTAGAAAATATCTGTTAACAACGAGTTCACAGTGCACATGCTTTGCAAATCCTGCAATCGACCAAAATCTGCATGACAGTTTACGAACCGGATTTCGATTTCTTGCACAATTTTGACTATGCATAGACTTGTTAGTCCAGGCAAAATGTAACTCCATGATACCAGCCTAGGTCGGCAAGGATGGATACTGGATTTAGTATTTAGTCAGTAAACTCACTTTCCTCGGGAAGATGCTATGTTGACTACAAATGAACAAGGATCACTATACTCTCCCTCTTGTTGGGTTTAACGCCACTTTTAACAGCATTCCAGTTATATCACGGTGTGTCAGCTTAATGTGGAAGGAAACCTGAAGTGATTCAGGTCTTAGATGCTTACTACTTTGGTGAAAGCCATGATCAAGGATAGGGTGCTGAAAAATCTAGAAACATAATCGGGGCCAATCAGGATTTGAACCTGTGATCATAGTTTTCAGGCCTAGTACGCAACTCTGCGAACTGAGGCGCCTTACACGACTTGGCCGACAGTGTTCCCACAAGGATCACAATGAATTAAAATTAAAATCAATATTATATAACAAAAACAAACCAGGCTCTTGCTCATGATGAGTGAACACATACACCACTGTGCTAGCCTACACACAGATATTTCTTCACAAGACACAAAGAAACCGTGATACCATGCATGCTGAATATATCTGACATACAGACACTCAACAAAATATCCATTTTGAAACAATGACATCTGTCGAAAAGGTTGGTTGGTTGGTTGGTCTGTTGTTTAACGCCGCACACAGCAATATTCCAGCTATATGACGGCGGTCTGTAAATAACAAGTCTGGACCAGAAAATCCAGTGATTGACATCATGAGCATCAATCAGTACAATTGGGATCGATGACATGCGTCAACCAAGTCAGCGAGCCTGACCACCCGATCCCGTTAGTCGCCTTTTACGACAAGCATAGTCACCTTTTACACCTTGAATCATGTACCAGTGAAGTGAAATGGAGTTGACATCATTTGTATAGCAACATGCATGCATGTGTGTATGTGTGTGTGGCTGATTGTACAAGATGCCAATTTTATAGTGCTAGCCCACTAAGATACCATGACGCAGCTTAACATGAATACCCCACTCAGACACAGTATACCGACTCCGAGCCGACCAGTCCTTGTTTTAGCCCACTGAGATACCATGCCGCAGTTTAACATGGATACCCCACTCAGACACAGTATACCGACTCCGAGCCGACCAGTCCTTGTTTTAGCCCACTGAGATACCATGCCGCAGTTTAACATGGATACCCCACTCAGACACAGTATACTGACTCCGAGCCGACCAGTCCTTGTTTTAGCCCACTGAGATACCATGCCGCAGTTTAACATGGATACCCCACTCAGACACAGTATACTGACTCCGAGCCGACCAGTCCTTGTTTTAGCCCACTGAGATACCATGCCGCAGTTTGACATGAATACCCCACTCAGACACAGTATACTGACTCCGAGCCGACCAGTCCTTGTTTTAGCCCCTTAATGCCAAGTGCAAGGGAGGGAACAACAAGTACCATCTTTTAATGTCTTTTGGTATGACACAGCCTGGGATTGAACCCTCATCTCAGAGCGGACGCTCTACCACTAGGCCACAGAGGCAGTTTGAATCATAAAGATACATATTGATAACATATTTGGTATAGCCTTCTGTGTCTTTAGCTAGCTCAACAGAAGATTTAGACTGACTGAGGAGTTGGGGTCAATACCGCTTCGAAAATACTTCGGTTATCACTGTTATATCATGGAATGGCAAGAAATCCACATTGATTAAAGTGCAAGGATCCCCCAGCAGTCAATGGGTACCTGGTAGGATGAGTTAGTAATGTGACTTGTTAACCTTGTAGCACCTCACAGGCAGCTTGCACTGTATACTCCCCAGGGAGCTGAGAATGAAAATCGAGTGCCCACTGATGGAGTTCATAATACTGTCGCGCCATGAGTGAATGGACTTTGGAGCATTAAAGTGTTTGTTTATCAGCTTAGCAGTTTTGTAAAACATAGGCAAGATATGGACCAAGGTTCATCGTCGGTGAGTGAGTTGGATTTAAAGCCAGGGATGTGGGATGAAAACCTGATGTGATGCAGGTTTAAGATGTTTACCACTTCGGTGAAACCAACAAGCACAGGTATGGTGCTGACAAACCTACAAACAGTATCGGGACAGACTGGGATTCGAACCCACAATCATAGGTGCCTGGCGTGTCCAAGGGACGCAACTCTGCACAGTGAATTGCAGTGCCTTACACGACTGGGCCACCATAATCATAATCTGAGATTTGAACAATCCATCAACAGGTTCTGGACTGCTACACAGGGAAGAAGTGACAGAAGCCCTTACCTTGACAACTTCAGGTCCTGTGATGAACAAGTAGGAGGTTTCCTGCAAACAAGTAGCAAACAATGAAATAGATAATAGAGATTATTACACCAAACTCATTTAAACCAGATTTTAGTTCTCGCTACCGGTAAACAAAGTGAGTGAGTGAGTGAGTTTGGTTAAACGCCGCTTTTAACAGTATTCCACGGTGACCATATCAAGAGAGAATCAACAAGGGTCTGTTTGTTTGTTTGTTTGTTGTTGTTTAACGCTTCACTCGGCAATATACCCTCTCTGTCTGTAAATAATCAAATCTGGACCAGACAATCCAGTGATTGACAATGAGATAAAGATACTGGGGCTTGTTCAAACTAAATTGCTTCATAGGCATTACTTAGAAGTTGACAGACGACAAAGTAGACACAAGTTAACAACTTCCTTATTTACTGTAATTATGTACCGAAATATTGTCTAAATAAACAGTTGTACCATCAACCTGGGAAAGGGCCTCTCTACATTTACAAGCATACAAACTCCTATTGCTGCCATGACCATAACACGAGATGCACAGCAAAGCAGTGCATGTAAAGGGAAGTAACTGTGTGCTACATTGCTATATTGGATCACATTGTTTTTAAGTACATGTATTAGGATTTTTTTACTTTTTTTTATTCAGAATGGAAATAAAAACGAAACGTGCAGCAGACTTTATGATGATGTGGGCGGTGCCTGAGAACCAAGACTTATTTTTGTTAGCCTCAAGTAGAATATATTATGAGCACAACTCTGCATTTTGAAACTTATAATTGTACATATCATTATTTCAAGATGCCTACCAACAGTGCTTGTGAAAGAAGGACTTTCCTAAACCTTCCATCATGAAGCAGCTGTCAGAGGTGATTATTGTGATTTGAAACCTAGGATTCACCAATCAGAATCAAGCATTTTCCAAATACATAGTAGAATTTGGTGACAGTGAAAGCCAGGTAATACTTTAGTATTTATGATTTCTTGGTGCATAGGTGTGTTAATATTTTAAAAGTGCATTATTTGCAAACTATATCGGCCACCTGAAAGAATAGAATGACGTCATCATGTATGGTACTTGAACCTGGTAAGTCAGTATTCAATATTCAGGCCTTATTCTCCCTTATTAAATATTTTCCAAGGTTACCATTATTGCTATGAAATCTGTAAAAATGGTAATTCTTATTTCTCCAAATGGATCACAGCTATTGATCTACAAGACCCACTACGTAATGCTGATGCCGCTGGTAGTAAGGAACAGCGGGAATATCATAGGGGAATAACCTAATTTAATGACACATCAGTGAAAATGTTACAATTAGTACTTGTCATCATTAGTTTAGTGAATGATAGTATAATGACTAATTCTGGACAACTTTTTTAATGCTGCCGTTAATGTGCACAAAATAAGCATTAATAAGCATTAAATGTACTGGGGTTGGGATGGGTAACTCGGGTACAAGGGTCGGGTGGGTCCTGAGTAGGACCCCGGTACCCACAGGGCTACCTTGTCCCATGGATAGCCTGGTTATATATTGGTCAAGTACAATAACAATGACAGTCGCTCATGTTAGTATAACCAGGGTATTTTGGAAAAAGGGGTTTTTAATATTTACTTAAAATATAGTTTACTAAATTAAGCTTTTGGGTAAAATATGGATGCATATGAGAGAAGTGACCGTACAGGGTGAGGGCATAACCCCTAGGGCAAGTGATGATTGGTTTTGCTTCTCTTAAGTGATAGAGTTTACCTTTCATTAGTACAATGAATTAGTAGAATTGGTCTTGCAATAAAAATGTCAGACGGGAGATAAATGGATGGAACAAAATTGTTAGTCTTGTGGTGGTCAAATAGTTCTGAGTATTACTGCTGGATTAGAATGTCAAAATAACATGATTAAGTATCTATTCGGTGCCTTCCAGTCTGACAGAGTATTTGATGGTATTTGATTATATGAGTATGTCCGAGTTGACCAATGACCCTAGAGAGGTAATCAAATTGGTTAGACCAAAGGGCTTGATGATAAAACTATTACTATTGAGACTCATTTCTCATGATGTCAAACGTGATTTTGGAGGGAGGAGCTAAAATTATCATCGATAGTATTTTGTGAGTTGTCCGAGATTGGTGCGGGGAGTCGGGAGCATACAGCTGAATAGAAAGGTTCACTGTGGTTTTGGGACCCCGAGTCAGAAAAGAAGTAGAGTTAACGTTCATCAGAAAAAACCATCAGGCTCTTCAACCATCATCTAGGTATGTGTTGTATTTATATCAGGCAACAACAAGAACTAATCTGAGGACCATGTGTGTGTATTTATGATTAACTCTATCATAAATAAAAAGAGACTGGAGCAAATCATCTGACTTGTGATTTTGAGAGAGCTACATCATCCCTAGAACTAAGGAGTAGTTGATTAATACCAAGTGACCATAGGTAGAAGGGTAAAGTACCCGGAACCTAAGGTTACATATGGCGGAGTTGCTCTAAGATCACCGTACCATGCTCATCACAAGTTTGAACGGTTTGCACCTGCAGCTGAGTTGATGTACACTTGATGGTTGTTTGCCTGACACGAGCCGATGCTATTTGCCATTCACGGTAGGTGATGTCCTGTAAAGCGTGAATTGATTGTGAGGGATGTGTTTTGCCCTTGTATTGGTGAACTATGCTCACCAGCGGGACTATGGTTCACTGTTTGAAAGCCTTGGGGTGGTCAGTTTCCCATGAAGAGACTGTGTTATTGATTTCTTTGGTAGTAGGGCTACTACCATAACAGTGATATTGATTTTCTAGTGTGGGACAGTCATACTGATGGAGGACCCTTGCTGCACACTGGTGTGCATAGGAACTTTCTGCGGTATTATAAGACTGTTTTTATCTCTCATCACCAACAATGAGCATGAGACGTCTTGAAATTATGATGTTGAATTTGGACATATTGTCAGGGAAGAACCAAAGTGACTCAAAATGTTTCATGACAATGAAAATTGTTCTGCCTCTGATATTACAGAGACAAATGACAGTTTATTTTCAAGAGGACTTGGGAATAAGGACAAATTAGGGAACAATTTTGCAGCTTTAGCAAGGGCTTTTTCCCTAAGTCAGTTTTCTCTTGAGAAATTCAATGGAAGTGATCCAGAAATTGCACATTCATGGTTAAGCAGATATGAGAACTTTACTTCTTTACATATTTACTCAGAAGAATGGACAAAGACAGCATTTAGTTTATGGTTAGACAAAAATGCTTTAAAGTGGCATGAAGCTCAAGACTTTAGTGACAATTCCTGGAATGATGTGAAGACAGCTTTCTAAGTTCAGCAAAAAGATATGAAAGACTAGACAAGCTTTATAATAGGAAACAGAAACCGTCTGAGGATTTTGAGGACTTTGTTCAAGAATTGCAATATGAGGCAAAACGTCTTGATAGACTGGACGACATCTTTCTCATGGATGCCGTCATTAGGAATTCTCAACCTCACATTAAACAGTTCATTTTGACAAGATTGCATGAGACCAAGGATCAAGTCCTGGAAAGTGCGAGAATAGCAGATGCTGCATTTGGACTGGCCACGTCAGAGAATGACAGACTTGTGTCTGTTATAGAGGAGCTCGTTGGACAAGTATCCTTATTGACCAGTGCAGAAAATACTCGAACAGGAGGGAACTTTTCATATGAGCATCAGGATGACTCTATGTACAGAAAACAGTACATTAAATCTGCGACTGAATGTACTGATGACCAACAACCAGTGAAGAACGGGACACAAACATTCCATCAACATAACAGAAGTGGTTGTGCATCAACACATGTTGATATCAGCGACATGAGTGACAATGATGTGCCCTGTGGACAAAACTGGAGCCCTGCTCCAAGGAATATGAACATGGAGGAGCATAGGGTGTCACAACCACAATTATGGAACATTTGTGGACAATGAGGTAGGACACATTTTAGCATGTCTGAGAGTCTTGTGAGATCTATGCAATGTTTTCAATGCTGTAGGATAGGGCACCTAAGCAGATTCTACTTTTCTAATTAAGCCAAACATTGCAAGGGTTAACAGGGGCAGTGCTACATTAGGATTTGAGCCTGCTGCCAATATAGCAAATATTGATTTTGATAATGTTGATAACATCATAGACCATACTTTTACAATGAGAAATAATACAGAACCAAATCATAGAAATGATAGGTTATTTGTGCGAGATTGTTGTTTTGACTTGTAGTGTGGGCTTATCTCACAGCAGTATTAGGGTTAAGATATCTGGAAAGACTTACAGTGCCCTATGTGACTCAGGTGAAACTTTGAGCTGTATGAATTCAAATGTATTCTCATCTATTGGAGGTGAGAGTAGATTTCCTATAACAAAATGAGGTGTAAGGTCATTGGTTGGTGCAGATGGGAAACCATTAGATGTGTTAGGTGTATCTACAATTCCTCTTACAGTTGGTCAGCTATGTGTTGTACAGGACTTTCAGGTCTTTTAGCCTTATCAATTGATGTGTTGTTAGGCTTAGATTTCTTGAGAAGCCAGAGGCTAGCATTGATGTTAGCCATAATAGGTTGACTTTGTAGGATGGACTTACAGAGACAAATTTCATTGCCTATTCAGATTAATACCAACCTTGTTACATGTATATGTGATGTGGTACCACCACCACACATGAAACTTTGTTGCCGGTGTACATTAAGTTAGGCGTTGTTGAGCCGATTGAGTCTATTGCAGAATGGTTACATGTGTGAGGTGCTAGATATCTCACTTCATCTGTCAATCAAGTACCATTGTTTAGGTTGATGAACCCTGCTAGTTCAGAGATTAAGTTAGCAATAGGTGTCATTGAAGAAGTTGATGTTGCCAACGTGTATGGGGAGTTAGGTAATGGGGATGCCACTCATACCTTTGATAATACCACAGGTGACAAACCATTCAACCATGTTGACATTGACAGGACTCAGGAGTTTGTTGTCAAGGATATCTCTACCCGTGTAGATGACAAGGATGATGTGACATGTATAGGTTCTGATATACACA